TTTACCACAGTGAGCCTATCACGTTCTAATGTTGATTGCAGGTCATGGGAATCGAAGGCGGTTGATCGGCGTGCACGGTGCAATCTAATCACCAAGGCAGTTACTGAGGTGCGAGATAAAGCTCTTGTGCATGCAGAAAGGAAGCGACAATTGCGGAACCGACAAGCGCTAATGGACTGTACTCCATCGACGTCGAGCGTAGGGTGCTGTAGCACATGCGGTCGCGACTGCCTGAGTCAGGCAGGCCTAGTGAGCCACGAGCGAGGCCACTCAGAACAGCAACGAAAGGACCAAGAGTCCTGCTGAAAACGTAAGCAGAACCGGCGCAGCGTTAGTAGGTATGCTGCATTCGATTTACTAACCGCGTGCTTGCGTACTGAGTTTTTTTTATTCCAGGTGGTGGGTTTGCTACCTTGTCTTATTGTTATTTTGTTACCTCATTTTAGTGTGTATCTCAATTATCTATTACATTACACCTTTCTCTTAAACTAAAGGTGGTTAACTTCGCCTACTTTTTCTCCTCCTTACATTTGTGTCTTGATGCCTTTTTCTGCCATCCTGCATGTGTCACGGCTATTTTGATAATCCACTTATTTCATGTGCTAATTTAGCAACATATTTGTACGGTGTATTCGATCTATTTTATTCGACTTTTTGTTTGATGTAATTGGCTGTCGCTTGACATCTCCGGTATGGCTGCGCTTGATGTACACGTTGACAAGGTGCCTACCTGTCTATTACCCACTGCCTCGTCTAAACTAGCTCCAAGACACTTGGTCGTTACTGGAGGGCAGGGTGTGCACGGTCCTCATGGCCGTGCTAAGCTCGAAGAGTGGTTATTTGCACTCAGTGTGGAGCGGACCACTGTCCAGCCACCCCATTGTGTGCGTTTGATTCCCAAATCAGGGTTCATGTGTTTGCCTGTGAATGAGTGTGGGCCAGATGCGTTGATGAAATGTTGCTCCCATCCGTATTCCTCCCGGTCTTATTCCTTCGGGTTTTCAATGGATAGGGTATGTGTGGACCGAGCTGTGGGTGGCGCGTCGCAAGCCACCCTTGGTCCCTCTGTAGGCGCAGGCGTTCTTTGGCTGTCCCCGTGGAGGCCACAGGGACAGGCAAATCCGGAACGGGATGCCGCCAATCATTCAACCACCAGAAATTTCCTCTCCTCTCCATGAGCCAAAGAGCAGGCAAACAACTTGGCCCTTTATTAGCACTTTTTAAAGATATGATATGTGTCAGTTGATGAGGTCGCTCCAGCAGTTCTATCTAGAATTGTGTATCTCGTCACGATTGTCGGACAGGGAGCCAACGTCCCCCGCACAATCCAAATTGGCCGCTATCCATCATGTTGTAGCTCAATGTCCCCCATAGTTTACCTTGGAACGGCGAATTCCTGATGGAGTCAACAATAAAATTAGGTGGGGACGGAGAGATGCGACTTTACTCTTCACTTACAGAGCGCATAAAATCTTCACAAACCGACCCGTAGCCTTAAGGATTACAAGCTTGTTGGAATAGAACCACTTGCAGACGCCAGACTATGGGGATTTTTCTTGACCAGAACGCCACTTTCAACTGCTCCTTGTGCTGACAAGTGATACTGCTTGTCTTTGACGCTTGTGCTAATAAAACCCATTTTCATTCTGAATTCGACTGCGATTCCAGAAACGGGGTGAAAATAAACAGAATAATTGTTATCATCACACGTTAACTGGAGGTGAGAGACACCTCGGCTATCGTGCCAAACCACATTGTAACTGCCCTAGCTGCACCAAGTTGTGCGAAGCCGCGGGGTGGCCAGTCGGTAATGTGGAATAATGACATGAAGAATTATGCTTAGAGACTTGGTTAGGCTGGAATGGGGACTCTGGACGAATCACATCACTGTTAGATACGCTATCGGGCATAACGTTGTCCTGAAGTCCGTTGCGCTGTTGTAACCGAATAATTCTAACCTCTTTCTTAATTCTGTGTGCTTCTTACTTCATGTTCCCACTATCCTCGTTTATTGCTGTTTTAGCGGTGCGACTCGCGGTAACTACATTCACTGCAGTTTTGTACCCTGATCAGAGTCGTTGAACTGCATTCCATGACTGTACATTTTGGCGCCAGCCTATGGGCTGACGTTTCGTCTTCCCTAACTTTATCTGTGCTTTGGGATCAAATTCGGGCGTCACGGCCATGTACGGTTGAAGCTTCTCTATCTATGATACATCACTTGGCTAGTGAGTCGACCAATGACCTCAGATGATGCTAGTAAGAAATCGCGTTGTGTTGACGCCATCCTTTGGCTCCTACTTGTCACACCAATAATAATCATATTGTCATTCATTGAGCTCGTTGCTACGTCGGCTTAGTCATCCTCATTATAGTTCGATCCGGGCAGAACTATGTCCTCCACGTATCCTAGGTTTATTAGTCGACCAACTTGCGAAACTTCCGCTGCGGACATGACGTTATATTCACAGCTCGTAAATGGAAAAAATAAAGCAGCCCTGATACACACTGTTTGTCGTGGCGAAATGGAATGAGAGTTGTTTCCTAGACATTTGTACACTGAATAAGGTACCACATCATACAGCTTTATAATGGAAAGGATTATCACCGACAGCCGGTCCGTGGCCCAAAGGGTCACATGCCTGCCTTGCAATCCAAAGGCGCGGGTTCGAACCTGTGTAGGGGTCCTGGTGACCCTCGCAGTATCCTTAGCCCCCGTGCGACCGGTGGTAGTTACGCAGCAACGAAGCATCAGTACTGCATATCGGCGTATTGCTGATTCCTTTCATCTCCAACACATCTTTCAACGACGAGCAGCGGCACACGAATGGCGAGTCAGCCAATGTTTCAATCATAGGCGACTTTCTTTGACGCAGTGATCCCACCGGACATGATCTAAGCTGCGAAGGCAGCGATGATCGAACATGACTAGCCTCTTTATGTCTGTTGGCTAATGCCACGTCGGTCCTCCGATACTGTCCTTCACCTATTCAAATTTGTGGAGACATTTGTCAGTTCAAGGGTACTTACGCGTTGCATCACGCGACGGTGAAGCGCTTGGTTCTGACTATCAGCGAGTAGCTAATATCTTTTGACAACGACTGAGTTGGGTCATTGGATTCAGACATCCGTTTTGGATTAGTATCATTTAATTACTTATATTTTATCTCCTGGGAGCTGTGACATCAACTTCCTGGTCGAATTCAGTTATTTGGAAAACGGCGTCAATGTAGTGGACTTGGCAGGTTGGTCTTGGCAATATTCTTAAATTTCACCTTGACATGTTCAAGAGTTAATCGGTCATTTCATTTATGTTGACACTCCATATACTTCTTGCTTCACATCAGTTGAAGTAGCGCTCACCGCTTTCCACTTGTCTTGAAATTGAGTACCTCCTTGGCTTTCCATATCCGCCCATGCCTTCGATCAACCCCAGAATTGACTGGTGCCGACTGCTATGGAAGCAAATATTAGTAGCCCAGGTTGTTCAGTTGGTGGTTGGAGTATTCGTTTAAACGACCAATCACGTTACCATATAATACCATACACATATACCGACACACTGACATTTAGTACCGCACCGTTCCGATCCGCTTCGCTACACAACAACGCACTGATGATGTCACCAGGGTTGGGGCCGAAACGTTCGCAGCAAAACTGTCAGACTCAGCGAACATTTCGACCCCCTAATTAAACTGGATTCCCTAATCGAATCATTCTCCTCAATTCACTGTATTCAACGCTTCGAAAATCTATTTTTATTAAGGTGACTAGCTGTTTCGAGGACCCGCATAGCGTATTGGACGCAACTACACTCGTTCTTTGATTATTTTCATCGCCGATCGTTGTTGGTTTACGACCTGGCAGATTAGATTGCCTACTGGTTATTCGGCTTTTTTCTCCTCATTGAGTGCCTAAACCTGCCAGTGATATGAATGCGGGCTGCACGTATACCGTCATTTGCAGCGGCCGAACTCCAAGCTGGTTTGTGATTTCTGCACTTTACTGTTAATGAATTAAAGTTCTAAGCGAATCCATTGTACCTCACGAGAGCCTTAGGATTATATACATCCGCCATCAGAAACCTTTGATGTGCTGTCGTAACCTCAACAGCGCCTATGCATCCGCTCTCTTGCATCTAGATGTTTACCTTTCTATCCGACGAACTTGTTTTTTCTCGAATTCCATTGCCGTTTTTGTATTTTCTCCTCGTCTCCCCATCCCTTTTCTCCAACATTATCATTTCGTCACCATAACAGTATCAACCCTGCTAACTGAATTCATCTCACTTCTGTGCCCAGATCATAATTGAGTAGCTGAACTAAAAGGAAGTTGAAGTGGCTCGGCTGCTTCTGCCCAGTATTGGTTTGGTGGGTGACCTTCCCAACACAATCGTACGCTAATCAAAGGTTTAGTTACATGCCTGCTTTGCTTGATCAGCCGTCATCTTTACACTCAAATCCCATTGACTTTTTGTATGCTTGGGTCATATAGTAAATTTTTTTCTGCTGCATAGTAGCCGGCTAGTAGCTTTCCGGAACGACGCCTATCCGTTACTGGTAGCTCAGCTGACTTGCAACTGTTGCATTTCCCCCCTGTTTTTCTTTTATGTATTGCGGCACAGTCGCTGAGGTGTTTCCCATCTCTAGCTAATGTGTATAATGATGATGATGGTGCGCTTGGGTCAATCTAAAATCTTGGCACATGGAGAAGTATTAGTAAATCCGGAACTGGGAATGTATCACTTGCCATTGTGCTGGTTTCTAAAATTTAATCATTTTTCTTCTGAGAGAACACTTTTCATTTGCCCCGTTTCTCCTTACTCGCCTCTCGTTTGTAACCATAAGCAGCTCCTTCGAAACACAAGGGCGAGTTCACCTGTTGATCGCTTCTCCGAGCTTGTTGAAGTGATTGCATACGTTTCACCACCATGTTTTGTGATATCTTCAGTGCGGTGTACAATCATGCAGAATTGCTGATTCTCATTCGTTTCCATTTCAGGCGATTCTGTGATAGTTGTTTACCCTTTGTTGACATCCGCCGTCACGTGATTGCATTATGGGAATATCTGCCGCACGCGGCAAACTCATTGCTGTTATTGGCGACGAGGACACCTGTACTGGCTTTCTCCTCGGTGGAATTGGTGAATTGGACAAACACAGACGACCTAATTTCTTCACCGTGGACAAGGAGACTCCACTGAACTCTATTGAAACTGCATTTAAGTCCTTTCTGGAACGTGATGACATAGCCGTTATACTTATTGCTCAGAATATTGCGGAAATGATAAGACATTTGATCGATTCCCACTTGTCTGCCATTCCAGCAATCTTGGAAATTCCCAGCAAAGATTTTCCCTACGATGCCAGCAAAGACACCATTTTGAAACGGGCTAAAGGATTATTCTCTGCTGATGACTTCCGCTAGTTGATTTCGCACAAATTTTTTTGTTATTTTCGGGCATAATATACTTATATCAACTCTTACTATCTTCTTTTCCACAATGCAGGCGTTTTCAACAGGTCGTTTCGTACCATTTGTTGCTTACCAAGTACTCTTTTCCTGACCTGTCTTTCAGCAATGACTTCTTTCGCGTCGCCGAACTCGTCCCTCGATGGATCCGCCGCTGAGTTCGTTCCGTGTGAAGAACTTCGTCAGGAACTGAATAGGCGCACCGCTATTTCCGCTATCAGAGAAATGCTCGAACCGATTTTCGACAAGAGAGGAGTTCATTTTCGCAACCAACTTGACCAGGTACGCATGATTCTCTCAGCTTACACTTTAAACAACATGATACCTTGTTTCCGCTCTCCTTGTTCTTGCAACTCAAGGTGTTCGGATGAGCTGTCCCACTCTGTTCCCATTAGGTGTGCACTGCGCTCCATATGACAGCGAAGCATCAGTTCAAATGGCTGATGTACTGCTGTTTATGATAATGATGCACTCCATATCGTAGATGCGATAAAATGATCTGTCAAACTACCGCCGGGGTATTTCCGCCAAGCGCAATTTACTGACTGCTAACTTAACTCTAATCTAAACTTAGACTTTGTATAACCGGACTTTTCTACTATCTGTAGTAATTATTGGCCGTACAATCTTCGTTTGATTCTTTTAAACAAGTATGTTCTTTTTACCCCAAATGCATGGAGAAAATTATGGCGTGCAGCCTGGAACCACGCGCCCTTATTGCTGATACACACTTCTTAGTGCTTAAGTTGCATTCGTTGTAGTGCATCCACTTTCCTTGACTTTCACCATGACACTCAGTGGAATAATAACAGCAGATTGATAATGAGTTGAAGAACGTTAAAACCCAAACAAGAAAACTATTGACACAGTAGTGTATTATCCTTTCTATCATGATGGTAACTTATTTTGTTATTTTTTTCTTGTCCGTTCGCTGTGGTATCACAGTTGGTTACTTCGGGGTTCCATTCGACGACGCACAGATTTGCGATCATTTAGCATACGCTGAACTTGACCTAGTCAGCTCACAGATGTCTTGTTCAGCGAACACTGGAACGGCATTAAGGTCTGTTACCTATCGCTTGCGGGATGGGAGCTCTGGGATGGTCCAATCCAGGAGCAGTCAGTGGGATTCCTGCACTCGGTTTCTTGCATCTAGCTATTAATCTTCCATCCAGATTTATTTTACTCACTTCTTGATTTCATATTTTTGCATTCTACTCGTATTCACTCTCATTTTTACCGTTGTTATTTACCGTTGTCCTGTCGATGTGGGTCGTGATATTTGTATCTATCGCACTTCGGTGTCCAGTTCCTCGTTGTTCAACTAAACTGCCTACCGGCCGACATTCGCAATATTCACTTGGTGTTGCCACTATACGCAAGCAGAGCTAAGCTGGTACCTTTGCTAAAAGATAGCTAATTTTTGGTATATACCCTTCGCACTGTAAACATTCTTTTGGCCCATACAATGAAATCAAGTAACTATGGCGTCCGTTTATTCGAAGTTTGTAGGGTACACTGAGAAGACGAAGTTCGACAGATGCACTCATATATCGTCTAGTCAGCGCCGATAACGATAAATGGCATTTATGTCCAATCGTCCGAGAGTACAAACATACACACGGACAAACGAGTGGAAAATAACCAGGGCATCTTGAAGCTGACTCAAAGCACCGGTTTAATCCGGTTGATCGCAACAGCCTCGGCGAACCGGAAGAGCCAGGAATTGAAAGTAAACGTAATGTTGACCTCCATCCGATAGCCCGAGGTCAACGAATGTCTGCCAATCGATGATGCCGACGGCTTGCGTGCGCATTCCAGACTTAAGTGTGCTGACTGCGCAGTCTTGAATTGAATCTATTTTACCACGTGCTCCTTTATTCGAGAACTCAGGGTCTTATCAGCTCTGTCTACGTAACTGGCTTTCGAGTTACATACAAATTGTTGTACCTAATGAGAGTTGGTCCCGATAGACTTCAGCGGAAACAACGGCAGTTTGTAAGCTCAGTCGACGATGGCGACTTCAGCAGCGTTTAGAGTGCTCTACGCGGCCTTGTAGTCCTCACTGTGACAATGTCACACTTAAAAAGCAGCTGTAAGTATGCCTTTTTCTTAAGTGCTGTGAGCTCCAGACTTCTCATTTCACTGACTTTGCTGTGCTTTACAATGACTCAACGAGAATAGCAATTAAGGTGTTTGCTTCTCGGCTCCAGTTCATCGGCCAGACACTCGGTCGAACATATTCGTCTAGCACGACTAATTAGGATTTTAACAAACGTCCGCTTGTATCGCATGGACGTGAAGATAATAAAAGACAGATACTAGCCGGACCACGTTGTTTCTAAGTACACAATCAGTTTTCTCTGTCCCTTTTTCATGCGGCCGATGAGAACACCCAGTTAAGGAAGGCAGTTCTGTTGTTCAACTTCACGAGCTGTGTGATCTACATCTCTGATGAACCGAACGCCAAGATATCATCCATACGACGTTTGTATCAGGTTAACTGCTCTATTTTTTCGGATATGCCTCATTCTGCCATCAACATGAAGAAATCGGCTAATATGGAGCCCAGCTGGCTGCCCATGGCTGCCCCATCAATTTGCCGATCTGGTGTATTCCTGATATAAAACTCAACCTTCTTGCCCAGACGTAATGATTCCTTGACACGTTTGCTGGTATCGGTAACAAACGTTCGGAACTTTCAGCTAGTTCGCAAATGTAGTCAACGGTCTGGTGCATCAGGACATCAGTAAATAAGGATACCACATTTAAAGAACACATCACCTTATCAGACAGATTCGTTCTATCGAGATCTTCAACAAGCTTTAAATGCTTTCAGACCGTATAAATAAAACCAAACTCTCAGCGGAGAAATCGCATTTACCTACTTGCGAGCTAGTTTATGTTGCGGTGCGTTTGTCATTGAGAGGATCGATCTGAGTGGGACTCCGCCCGTATGCGTTTTTGAAAGCTCACATAGCTGCGGTGTGGTCGATCCACTTGACTTTGAACTGTTCTAATATCACTGTCGATCCACGATACTGAAGAAGCATTTCTATCTAACGAATTGTGCGAGATCCCAGCACATTCATTTCATCCGCTTTCTCAAGTCGTTTGACAGCGCCCATATTCTTAACATATTCATCCTTATTCATGACCACCACTCTTGCGTCCTCGTCCAGCTTCATTATAACCATGCCTTTATCGCGGTTTGCTTGGCCTTCGCAGACCCCTACTCGAAAATGCGTACTTTCAATGTCACATTTTCTATTTCATAGGCAGCATCGGTCAGCTCGTTTTCAAAACCGACAAACCTATCAGTACTAGTTGGCTGAAGGCACCTCAATTGATTAAAGAATTTTCAAACGGCGCCTCAGTAAACAACTCAAATAATCGCTCAGGAAGCATTCTGTGATCCGATCCAAACGACCATGCTTCTTACTGTAGCACATTAAGCCTAACATCTGACAGCCTCCACGTACTTTCTGGTTCCTCATCTTGGTTGTTTATCAGCGATTTGTCGAGCCGATCGAGCTCGTTCATTTTGGTAACATCGATGGGGGCTGTACAAAATTGAGCGTACACAATCTGACAGCAGACGGATAAACTTTCGACTGCGGACAACACATGTGCATGGATTTTCAGTAAATCCACAAGTCTGACTCGAAGGTTAGCGCTCGGCCAGCGAGTTAGTATACGTTTCAGTTCAGCTGAAGCCGATAAGATGGGAGTATTCACAACCAGACAGGATGCTGCCTCTATCGCATTTCACATGTGGCCAACTCGAAGAATCTTCCACTGGTTGAAGTAGCGCGTCCGTAAATTTTTCTAAAGCGATCGAAATTACCCGAAATGCTATATTGGGTTGTAAACAGCACCACAGACCGACGTGATCAATCGAATCAGGTTGCCATCGTTCATCGTGTGTGCATATATGCGTATTTGTTTATGTGAAGGTGGCCGAGCTACTGTTAAACCAACCGACCGTCGGCACATCTTCTCTCTAGCCTGAAGTGGCATAATTCGCTGGCTCGCAAGAGTAAGGTCTTTGGTTCGAATTCGGCAGGATTTGATGGGTTAGCCCCACTGACGGATTCAACTAGGCGGAAATACCCGGATGTGTGGTTGCTGTCTAGCTACGACAAATCTACATGAAAACATTAAGCATGTTCGCAACTTTCATGCAATGGGATTGCGACTAATTTCTTGGAACCGATCGCGTCGCTACTTGTGGTCTTTTGTCGGACTCGGAACTAATGTACGGTAAGCACCGGTATGAGAGCGCACCCTCTATGCTTCAAACCGTCTTGCATGCAGTGGGAATACTCACAATTTGCCTATCAGACTTGGAGCTCATCAGGTGTAGACAGTTTATCTGTCGTTGTCGCGTGGTAATTTCATTTCTCTAGTCCGCGTAGGGGCTGACGTCCTCGCGGTATACACAGCCCACGCGCAACTGGTGGTGGTCGCACGGCAGCGAAGCGCCGTTACTGCGTACAGCTGAACTGTTATTGTTTATTTATTATTCTCCAGTCTGCTTATTGTTGAAAATTGTGATGTCAGCATTCCGAATGGGCTCGTTGGGTAACCATTCAGTGGGTGGTGCACGGATCCCGGATCTACCGACCCATCTCATAATTTCTCCCTCCGAATGTTTTAATTGACAGGGGCGACGCTACTGCTTCTTGACGGCCGCTTTTCCCACCACCCTACTTGGGATCGGTCGGAGCAGCGCCAACCCTTCTATATATAGGTTTCTTGCTATCCATCAACCTTCAAATGTATTGCTAATGGTCTGCAATTCGCTACACGATAAAGCCACCGTCCCAGCTCCAGTCAGACTGGTACAAGTCTCGGGATTTCATCCACTTTTCAACCGTCCAAAGGGCACCTGCAGTACATCGGCACTTCGTGCCACCATGTGACTGCAATCACTTGCATACGGTCTCGGGATACATCAAGGTCTCCTACACACGCAACCTTGAACCGCTCATTTGTAGATCACACAGATAAATCGTTACCCAAGTACACTACACTACTACTATTACTACTACTATTACTACCACTACTACTACTACTATTACTACTACTACTACTACCGACTTCTACTACGACTGACTGATAATACAACCGACTACTAATGCGACCAACTACTACTATGCCCGAACCAGTCACATCACATGTACATTACCGAGGGTAGCACCACAAACGAAACCAGATGTGCATCACTGCGCGTGATTCTCCGTCCTTTCACTATCACGACGCCTTGTGCATGGGTGTAACGATCGTCCAACGGATCCTATTTTACTTTCTCTAGATCTTTTACTTGCATCATATGTGTTCATACGGGACCGACCGTTCGACTTCTTTCTGCAAAGACAGGAACGGTTTAGCTACCCGTTTTTGCGTTCTCGGTGTTTCAAAATGGTCATTTCCGCTCGAGACCACATGCCTGCACAGTGCATACTCGGCTCCTTAGTCTCACATTTAGATTGAGAAAAATAATATGCTTTGCGTTTCGGTGCTTTTTTAACCAACTTTATTCCGTTGTTTTTTTACAACCTTTCTTCTTGCTCTTTGCATTAGCTTACAGTAGTCCTTGAGTCATCCGCTGGTTTCCGCAGTCACATGCACCTGATATAACACGTATAGTTAACTTTGGCAGTTTTTGAACTTGTACTCCCCACTTTTTCCTATTGCAGCTTAAAAAGGTCGCTTCGAACAAAAGTGTGAATGCGTCGCACTTAATTGGCGACATCCTTGGAGATGTTGCGACTCTGGATCCGAATCGCGCGCCTACCGGTTTCCGCTTTTTCAAGCAGCTCCGGACCGCTCTGTCCGTTTCAGATGGATGCGAATTAGAGGCCGGACTAACTGGTCGCATGCACGAACTCACAAAGGAGCTGATTTCGGGTAACAGTTTGCAACAGCTCTTGCTCCAATCCATTCGACCAGACACAGCATCCTCCGTACCGTGTGAAGAAGCCGGAGGCGATAAACCGGACCAATCAGTACCTCAGTGCACCAGCCGCTTGTTTGGCGTCCTGATGATGTTGAATCTCCTCATCACACGTTTAAATTTGTCTGACTCTCCGGATGAGTGTGTTTGTGTTCCACCAGCGTTACCCTGTGTTGATTTGTGTCGCCTCGTCGAAGCCACTTGTCATCTGCAGCTGACTTACCACCGTGCGTCCTTCTCTGATGATCCTAGCTTCAGCGAAACCGTCCTGTTCGATCAAAAGACTTGGGCAAGCTTCGTTTACCATGCTTGTGACTCGTTTTCTCAGTGTCTGCTATTCATCAATTGTTTGCTCGCACAGGCAAACTCACACATTACCAATGGGTCTTGGTCCAATGGCACTCATGTCCTCAACCACACACATGAGGGCGAATCGAATTCGGGCCATTTCGGTACGTATGCCACCGTCTCCAGCCTTATGAGCGCCGTGCTCACGCAAATGCGAGAATTATTGCTAGACGAGCGTTTGCCTTCTAAACTCATGCGTACCACTGTTTTGGATCTGCTGCTTACTTCTGACCAACTTACCAACTATCCTGCACTCCCGGCCGAATTGGAATCAGGTTCCAACGAATCTGTTGGGGACGATGTGTACGAATGTTACCAGCACTTTCTCGAAGAGACCAACCAAGTTTCCACAGGTTAATAGCATGCTAGATCGCCTTGCCTAATTCGATTGTGTTCTCATTTCGTTCAAGCAGGGCTGTATGCAAAACCGTACTTCCGTGTACATTTCCTTGTCTTTCTGTTTTGTTTCAAAATACATCGTATCCGCACGTCGCGTTTGGTATGTTCTGGTGGGGAAACCATTGTTGGAGTGATCACAATAGTCATCGAACTGTACCTCTATGCCGTCGGTTAATTATCCTTCTATTTGTGCTTGGTTCCTCCATCTTGCGTTTACTGGAATTTAACTTCTTCTCGTTGATGCTGCTGTCATGGCTTTCCTCGCATTGTACGGGCTGATCTGGAGATTGGGCCGCACGGATATGTTAAGATTTCTAGGATCGCAGTAAAAACATTCCTGATATCGTCTTTGAGGCCAGTTCAAGCATTTTTCTTGTGTCTGTGCACAAACACGATGCACTCGATTCAGTTGATGATATGCTCTTTTTAACTTGTTTGATTTTGCGTAATTGCCTTTTACATTGTTGGCCTCATGGTATGCCGTCTCCACAATCTACAATCGATAGCAGCACATTCGCAGTCGGGAATATTGCAGAACTTGCGCGGATGCTTCGAAATGTTGCTGGGACTTCGATAGTTTTCGCTTAGGTGAATAACCGGCTCTATTTGCTCAGATGACATAAATACAGCGACGAAACGGGGATTCTTTGTATTGGTACACAGTTTGTGAGGTGGTCCCTGTTGCCACACTATTGGAAACCATATCTTACTGCTGCTGATTATCACAAATTAGGTGATCCTCGCTTCCGAACCGTCTGAATGTTGTGATATGGCACGTATCTTCTGATCACTTGCTAGATTTCATACGGAAAATCCATTGAAATTGCGCTATTCCCAGTGTCGGTTGTCAGAAGCAGCATCCCACCGACTCACATCGTCTGCACACCGAGAAGCATCAGTTAGGCCATTTGTATCAATTTGCTTTGAGGGAGGCGTTTTTATAACACGACCTGAGTGTGGGGGAGCCTTAAAGATTAGGATTACGAGATTTACGCAGGCTACCGATCGATCACTCAAATTAGACGAAGGCGTACGCATCGAGTTGTAACCCACTAAGTTAGGCGAGCTAATTACCACAGAGCTTTGCTCTAATCTTCGATCGATTTTACATGGAATAGCCGAAGCACGGTCGCGTTCAGTCTCTCGGGTCGAGTACGTCTCCCTGTTCTATCGAGAATGCATTTGTTTACGTCATGACTTGCTCTCATCAGTTAACGTTTTCTGTTCGCGACATTTATAAGCCGATTTTAAATCACTTTCAGATTTTCCTTCAATACTTGTAGTTATGTTGTCCCCGGCATTACAAACAGCTGCGATCATTAATCCGATTTGCTTCATAGTGAAATATTTTCTAAACAAACTATTTTTATGGCCTTTTCGCCTAATTTTGCAAAATTGACTTGCTCATTCTTATACATGTTCCGCACCAGTATGAACTGAATGTACCACGCGAAGACTTGTTCCTGGTGGAGTATCTGAATGTGTTCCTATGCTGTTAACCAGTTCACTCGTTCATAGTCGATTTAGGTACCAACAGGTTTTCACACGACACCACTGCCTGAGAATGGCCTCGGCTTGGTTGACGGTGCGAAATCGATGCACATCGATCTTGTCGCGTTCCGTCATGTAAATTTCGGTGTTGAGAGCGTAATTCTCGCTTTACTCGTCCTCCTTTACTTGACAACATGCGCGATGTGACCTATGACAGGGACCGGATGGATACGCTTCCGAATGAACACGTCTGCCTTTGCCATAATCGTTCGGACCTTATTCTTGTATAGTGGACATAAGGAGACGAAGTCCAGCCACGTGTGTGATCCCCGTTCACGGAAAATAAACTTTGAGAAGCGGACTATTCCAAAGGTGTGGATAATTCTAGTGTTACATTGATTACTGGTACACTGTTCGCGAAAAGTTGGCACGGTTGTGTTTCGCTTCTTTGTCATTATTGCAGCCAATACGGATAAACGTTGCTCGCTTCCAAGGCGGCACTCCACGTGCGGCTTCCTTCTTTTGTGGCCTCAATTGAGCTCGGAATTTAGTCTCAAGTGCAATGCTTCTTGGTAAGTTCATTCATCACTAATCACCGTTACGTTGCTGAGTTATTCATCTGGCCTGGAACTGCCTCGACTACAAATGTATCATCGCTCGAAGTGACATCATGTTTGTAGACTTTCCGTTCGTTCCGTCGCCAGTACTAGTACTTGGCAATGTGTTTTGCTTGGTACCATCCTATACCCCTCTCTATTTTTCGCCTACATTGAAAGTCTTCCTATTTCATCAAATTTCATAGCTTGACGTCGTCCTAGGATGCATAACCTCAATCATCGATAACTCTTTGAAACTCTGACGGAGGCTAGACGAACTAGTGAATCGGTCCAGCTCCCGTTCCCTCTCTCTCAACCCTTCCGAGTGTTGTGATGTACCGTTCTGTGTTCTACATCCCAACTGCTGGCAGCCCCTTGTACACATATCTCCCTTCTCATTATTGTGGTTGATCAAAGCCTACCCTTTTTCCCTCACCGGAAAATATCGTAGTTTTCCTAGCTCATAATTTATCTTGATCTACATATATTCTTTAAGCCTTCAAAAAAATTAAAAAGCTCTCCTTTTGCACCCGCAGACATAGAATGCCTTCTGTTCCCCGTGCTTTAATTCTAAGGTTTGTAACTGCATATATCCTCCCTCACTGGTTATACTGTTCAAGTCTATATATATATATATATATATATATATATATATATATATATATATATATATATATATATATATATATATATATATATATATATTGCAACACTATATGAATAGACATTGAGCCATCGGAAACCATGGAATTCAAAAGAAAGTGCAGAAACAGTGAAAGAAAACACAACACATCAAAGTCCATGGTTTCCTCAGAGGGCGAGATACTACCCGGTTGCCCAATCCGATGTAGGGTGTTGACTTAGGGGACACCACCCCGAACAATTGCTGGATAGCCTTCCCGCAACGTAGCGGAACGAATTCAGGGAATCGCGCCCATTTGGAGCCGGTGACTGATTGCTCAGTTCATACGCCTTTCCTTTGTCAAACAGGCGCCCAATGCTTCCCAGAATTACAGTACAAATTTGCTGGGATACAATGCTTCGCCAGGATGAAGCAAGAGGCAGTGACTTTATCTAGTGGCGAGTGACGTCCGCCACGTCACAGTGTTGTTAAACGGACATATGTGGCTTTTATAGGGAGATAACCTTTATACACCCGTGTGGGAACGTTTTCACTAACACTGCGGACACACTACAAATTAACTCGGTCTGGAAATGATGTGAATTGAAACGAACGACAAAAAGAGTACGTTTTGAAGCAAACAGACGTTCTCGCAATTGTTGTCTCATTACTCTTGGGTCGACTAACGAGCGAGACAGACAAGGCAAAATGGAGTTGCGATACGAAGAGGTACGGGAAAATAAAACTTAAAATTTTGTCCGTTTGCCGTACTTGCTAAAACAGTGTGTAGGGGGTGAGAGAAGACGTTTAGAGTTTTGAATGAGCAGTTAAAGCATGCGTCAAAATGCTTGCTAACCAAAAAATCAACGAGGGATTCTCTGCATAATCCAGAGCATCTGGAAATCACTTTTAGTGATCTCACAAAAAGAGTATAATTCTTTTGAAGTAGTCCAGGGAAAATAACAGAGGGACAGTATAGCCGATGGGGAAGAGTACATGCGGTTACAAACCTTAGAGCACGCGGTACGGAGAGTATTTTAAGCCTAAAAGAGTAAAAAGGTAGTCTTCTGACTTTTTGAAAAGTTTCAAGAATATGCGTCGATCAGGATAAATTGAAGGAGAAGAAAACACCGAAATACTTTACGGAATATGAATGAGGGATGCCTTGTTCACTCACAACCGAAGGAGAGATGTTTAAAAAAGAACGCAGTCTGTCAGTGCGAAGAGAAGGTGATATCACAACCTTTACGGGTTAAGAAAGAGGGGGCCGGAGCTTGATCAAGTCAAGAGTTCGTCCAGTCTTCGTTGGAGTTTCGAAGATTCCTCAATTATTGGGACGATTTCGTCAGCACAGTTACACCCGAAGCAACTGGTTTGTATAGACGCACTCAATCTAGAGGGAAAACACGAAGGGGGATAGAACAGATCCTTGTAAGATCCCACAATTGGCTTGGATTGCGGAAGATCTACCACATAACTGCGTGAAGTGCGCGATTCGTAAAGTAGTCACGTATAACATTACTTGCGTATGGGGGTACGCCGTTTTCGAACAAAATATTTAGCAGTAACGATCTGTCAAGGCTTCCAAAGGCATTAGTATACTCAAGGAACAGGAGCATTATTTTATCCAAACCAGATGCCATGGAATGCACATGCTAAGAAACGGCATCCAGTGTAAATGCTGCGATTCATATTCAAACTGTGTGATATCAGTCTTGTAATGATTCGGGGGAATTAGTAGTTTTTCCAACACCTTCAGCAGCATGGAGGTGCACTCTATTGGCTGATACTTCTGTGTTTTCTTCTTAAGCGCAGGTGTTATTCTGGCTGCTTTCCAGTTGTCGGGGATAGTGTCAGTCATGAAACATCGGTTAAAAATCTCTGTCAGACGTGACTGTAATGCGTTAGCACACTCTTTCAAAGCGATTGGGGACAATGAATCGGGGCCACTAGCCTTGTTTGGCTTCCGTTTTGTGATTTTTCTTTGAACACTGATATGGTCAAATAAGGTGGAAGGGTCATTGCTTGGGAAAGAAGGTAGGAAGAAAGTGTTTGATGATGCTGAGCTAAAATCTGCGTTCAGTTTGCTCACATCCACTGTACCGAGTGGGCTAATGGAATTTTTGCCGGTGAGTTGCTTCAAGGGCCTCTACAGGGCTTCTTCAACAAGATTATGTCTTTCTTGTCCGTTCGCTAAAATCCATTTTTCGCTGCTCTGCTTTGGGGAAAGAAATGCTCATGGATTTCATTGTTAACAAACATTTTGATGCATGCGTCAACTTTCCATCCGAGATTTTAAATCACGCTCTTACACGCCATCCTGGCCAGCACTACATCTAATTCGTCCACACAGTCAAAATTCTGTTTTATATTCTCGTACCTCATCGTATCGAAACACGAATGAGACGTCGTTTTCCTGATCGTATGATTGATTGAAAATGCAAATTTTCCTTTACTGCTGTCAATTGTTATTTCTCATTGATGCTTTGTTGTA